ATGAATTCAGTGAGAAAACTGTCACCCACTGAGCAATGCTAGCGTGCTTTCCGACATCCCATAGTTCCTTCCACAACATGCAGGGACTTAACAGGGTTCCACCACTTCGTTTTCATTGATTTGAGATCATAGAAAAATCACTAAGGGGCTCCAAAAGCTGGGCTTCTTGGATGGTTATTATTCCAACGATAACAGCTAGCCTCGCATCTCTCGTGTAAGAAGAACCCGCTCTGGCTGAGACTGTGAAGAAGGCCCAGGGCGCAGCAATCCACGCTTCTCTCTCCACAGTATCTTCCATTTCATCTCTCAAGTCGGTCTCTTGTTCCATGCTCCTCGCTACACCATGGGGGTCCTTATTCATCTCTGTTCCCCTACAGTCCCTGGCACAGTGGCAGGCACACAGGAAGGGCCTAGCCAAGGTTTTCGGAGTTGAAAGGAAGCTGTCTGCAATTTAACTAGAGCACTCTCGGTTCCTCCACCTTTGGAGCTGACATCATTAGAGTCTCCAATGCTGAAAACCTCACTGCCAGCGGCTTCCTGCTGGGCCAGGTTGGGCAAGGGAGCTGCCCAGGGGAGCGTTCTCATCTTCGGCCCTTCCACTCCTGGCACGTGAAAGCCCTCCCTCCCACCTTAGATGCCATACAGCCCAACGCTGTCCACAGTCCAAGGTTAATTGCCAGTGTTTTCTTTCCTGCAAATGCTTTTCTACTTCCTTTGGTCAGGATTTTTTCTTCCTTTCCAACCCCCTCAAGGCACTCTGTGTGTCCCGCACACATGCCTCTGCATTCATTCTGCAAATATCTCCATGCACACAAAGCCCCCAGACTTACCACATGGTATAGCTTTGGCATATTCGTTTAAGTCTCCCCAACACCCCCTGACAAAGGGATTGATGTGAACGCTCAATACTAAGACACTATTGATTTTACGATGCATCATAGAATGGATGTGGCCTTTCAGCAAAAGAAACAGAAAAGAACTAAAAAGATGAACATAAAACACTGCTATAGTATGCTACAGTAACAGCAAAGTAATAACTCATACTTCTTGAGGTCACCATGTGTCTGACTCTGTGCTTTTCAATGTATTATGTCATTTAGTTTCACCTTCTAGGCATAGATGCTATCTGCACTCCCCACAAGGGCTGGCAGCCACAGAAAAGCTCCTGCAAGACACAGGTGATGGACTGGGATCTGAACTCAGCTCAGCTGAGCTCCAAAGCCCATGCCTTTAAAACAGTGAACTACCTTATATCATAAAGTTTATGTTTAATCAAAATAGAGCACACATAAAGAAAAGAGTGCAAATCATAGCCGTAGAGCCTGAGCATTTTTACAGATTCAAAACACCCCAGGCACCTACCACTCAGATCAAGAATTAATTATCATCAGCGTCACAAAAAACTTTTCGTGCTCTCCCCACACCACTGCCCCTCTATCACGCAAAGGTAATCCCCATCCTTTCTTCTACCTTCATGGATTAGTTTTTACTGGTTCTGATCTTTATATATATAAACATATATAGTTGACCCTTGAACAACACAGGAGTTAGGGGTACTGACCCCCCCATGACCTCCACACAGTTAAAAATCTACATGTAACTTTTGACTCCCCCCCAAATTAATTCCATTACTTATGTGCGGCTTCCATAATTCAATGTTATATTTGTGAGATGGGTGTGGTGGTTGTGTTCTTGAATAGTCATTATTAATAGTATTCCAGTGTATGATCATTCCATAATTCATATATCTTGTTTTTTTTATCAATTTGTGGATTTTTCCACAGCTTTCTAGCAATACAAATGAATATACTTGAATGTACTATACACATTTCTGTTAGGTATATTATTCAGAGTGGAACCGATGGGTTAAGGTGGAGACATTCAACTGAAGTAGATCCTGCTCAACAGGTTTACAAAGTGGTCAGTCTAACTTCCATTCCCACTATTAGGGTGTGAGAGTTCCAGTTGTTCCCTATCCTCACTGACATTGGTTATCATCAGTTATTTTAAATGTAGCCACCCAGATAGGCAGTGCCTGAACATTGGACTGCTAAATTGCTCTGCCTCCTATCATGCGAGATTCCTTACTTATGCAATATTCCGTCAACAACTAAAAAAACAAAAATCAACTAGCAAAGCGTCTCTAAGTTTTCCTTTACCATCCGACCGGAAGGCTGATCTTTTTCTTACTGACTCTGCTTCTCATCTCTCTGTTGTGATTCGGTGGCATGTTACTGGAGATCTATAATTATGATCTATTATTTATTAATGTCGCACCTATCATCTGATTAGAACTTATTAATTCTTTAAACGCCCCTGATATGCTTGCCTGGGCATTAGCATGTCAAACAAGGTTTATTCCTGCAGCTTGAAAAACTCAACCTGCACAGCACAGACTCTGCTGAAAGGTGATGATCACCATCTTTTTCCCACCCTCGCAGTGAAACCAATGGACACGTGAGAGGTAAAATCAAGAGAAAACTTGAAAGGCCGTCTGTCTGTGTGATGGCTTCAAGCCCAGACAAAGGCATGTGGGCCAAGCAGGATAATAATTTAGTGCCCAAATCAAACCAGTACTCTTTAGTTATTCGCACCACTTTTCTTTAAAGGAGAACCTTCATGGTTTGTTGAGAAAGGGTAGAGAAGGAGGGTCCATAGCTGCAGATTTTCATCTCCTCTGCTGTCCTGAGCAACTCTGCTCTGGCCCCAACTTGATGAAAGCACACCCTTCAGTAACCGGGCACAGCATCCTTAGCCGGAGCTCAAGGGGCATCTAATGCTATTGGACCATGCCCCTTGGATGTCTCCCCCTCTTTCAACGTACTACAGTGTTCCTTCCAACTACATCTGATACTCTCCCTGAAATGCATTCTACAACTTATATTTTTCTCATTTCTTTTGAACATTTCCAAAGATGTGTTAGAGTCCCTGTAGATTGATACTGTGGGACCCTCTTGGCCAGCTTGCTATTTAATGTAATTCAGATTGAAGGAGGTCAACCAGCTATTTTATCCTGAAGATTATGGTCTTTCTCAGCAGCATGACACAGTACATCACCTTCCCAACACTGCCTTCCCCCACCATCACCAGTTTCTACTTGAACTTTACTGTAGTGGGACTCCAATTCATCTAAAATTGGTGCAATGTAACTTTGGGAGTATATGATGTACCAGCATTTACTTATATTATTGAATCATTGAAACTCCTGGGAAATGTTTCAATGAAATAGTTAGGGACATGGGTTCCAGAGCTGGAGAGATCTGAGTGGAAACTTGGTTCCATCACTTAAATAATAAAGGCATTGCCTTTATGGCTCAGATTATATTTTACTCAGTAAAATGAAAACAATAATAATAGCATCAACTCATGGGGTTGACGTAAGGATGTAATGAGATGTCAGGAGGGTGCTGGGCACATCGGAAATGATCAATGGATATGAATTATTACTACACTCTGTGAGGAAGGCGCTGTTCTTATCCCATTTGGCAAAGAAATGGAAACTGGGCAAGTGGACGTGACCAGGATTACATAGCTCATACATGGCAGAGATGGGATTCTAACCCAAGGTGAGGCTTCCCATCAGTCAGTCTGACGGCTTTAGCTTTACCGAAACCACAAATTCAATGTCAATAGTACAGACCTCCGAGGAAAGTCAGTAGAGACCGTCTTGCAGTTGATTTCAGGCAAGCTCATTGGATGTCTTTAATAGACTTTCAACCAGGTGGTCTTTGCTCCACCTTTAAAATGTGCAATACAGAGGAACCTGACCACATGCTTTAAAGGTCTCATCTACTTCAATTCTACCAAGAATGGAAAGTTATCGTCTACCATTAATTAATTTATGTGTGCCTGAAACCATCTTAGTTCTTCATAATTACCACTTCATTTCCTAAATGCTATCCCTTTTGCAATCTATTCTTTTTTTAAAACTACCTCATTTGGGAAATACCAATAGCCTGAAAAATCATGTCTGGTTCATCCCACTCCCGCCCCCTGAAAAGTTGAGAAGATGAAACTAAACAACCTGTAAAGCAGGGATAGCTGGGTTCTAGGAGCTTCCTATCAAGGTGCCATGGACATATGATAACATCTTGACTCAGAATGATCCAAAGGCAGTGGTAGAGTAACAATCACTGGGGGTAGGAATTGCCATGACTCCAAGTTCCAGTTCAGGGGCTAATAAGCGTGTACAAGCCAATTCCAAAAGTATACTCTGCGTCCATTTTTAATAACATTTAAATTTCTAAAATGCTTCTCCTAATCCAATTGGGAGAAAGGAAAAAACCCTCCAGTGAAAAGCTCCAAGATAGTACTAGGATCAGATCTAAGACCACTGGTTTAATTAAATCAATAAACATTTAGTAGAGGTCCAGTATGAGCTGGGAACTGGGGATTAAGAAGCTAAATAAGTTATTTTCTTTGACCTTAAGATAGTCTCCACTAATGGGACAGAATGATATGTAAGCAACTACTTGAAGCACAGAAGCGTTAGTCTATAATGAAGTTAACTACACAGTATAAAGCATGTAAGGAGGGATGCAGTCTCCATCCTTTCATGAGTAAAGAACAAACACATTAGACCCGGACATTTAGAACATATGAAGTAGCCCAAAATCACCACAGAAAGCATCGCATTCTCCAACCGTTCACTTTCGTGACTCTCAGATATAGGATTAAGTAATGGTCTTTGATAAGATAAGGCCATTAATGATTCCATGATGTGGCAAGTGATGTTTTAGCCTATCCCATATTTTATACATGCCCCGAAGTAGAGTAAGGATGTTGAAATACAAGACCTCGAGGCCCACCAATGGAGGGCACTATTAGGAGCATGGGGCATGGCATACTTAACAGAGTTCCTTACATCATCTACAAGGCAGCTGCCTACTGCAACAATACGAAGGGTACTTCTTCACAGGAGTTCCTGTGGTCCTGAAACAGGGGCTCCCAGGGCTCCAAGAAGTTCTTGCTACGAGGATACTGGAGAGGAACTTCCCTACCTGACATCTGCAGGGTCTTCTGTGACGAGCACGTCAGTCTTGCAGCTGGCCAGGGGGTTGATGGAAAGCTCCACAGGCGGGACCACAAAGCTTTTGCTGACAGGAAGCCAGAGTCCTTGGCCCAAGCTGAAAGTAGACCTGCAATGTAAGAGTTTCCATTGGGGAACTCCCTAGGAAGCAGAGTGAAAACTGAAGAAATGGATCCTCCCCCCGATTCCTTCTCGGACCCCTTTTCTCTTCCCCACCCAATTGCGTCGCCTGCATTCTCCAAGGCACAATTTAGGCCCACTCTGCTCAGACTTGGATGGTCATTTCTTAAACCTATTAATCATGGAGCCCGTGGGAGTACAGGGCCTGCTCTCAATAAACAGTGGGCTCTGTGAGGACAGAGACCATCTCAGCTCTGCCTTCCCAAGCACTCCTGGTACCTAGCCGAGTTCCATGCATGACTGTGTAGTCAGCAGGGGAGTCTGCAGAAAGGTTAAAAGCATGCACTCTGAATCCGTTTGAACCCAAATCTGATTTCCAGTCTGCCACTTAATTTGCTGTACGTCTTTATCAGCTTAGGTATTGACGTTTCACACGAGATTTCATGGAGCTAGCAGGAACAGAGCCTATAGTTATAGGATATTTTTAAACCACTAGACGAGATAATCAGTAATGTCTCTTCCAGGTTAACTACCTCAGTCCCTAAGTCTAGATGCCAGACAGATAAGAAATAGATCTCCATAGTAACCGGGGCTGTGATGATACATCTGTGCCCATGAGAGTCCCTCTGCACTCATTACAGCCCAGAATTGCACAGGTTCGATCAGCTAAGGAGGCGTAACCACACTTCCCCATGAGAACCCCACTTCACTCCCCAGCATCGTGCCCCGACAGGATTCTCAACTCACCTGAGAATCTTTTCCGGGGCTTGCTCCCCCGTCACCAAATCGTAGCCCCTCTCAAGTGTGGTGTAAGGCCAAGGTCTGTAGGAAGAATAGGAGGAAAAGAAAAGGAGACAGGAGATAATATTAGTCAGAAGTAGGTCGGATTCATAAAAGAGTAGCTTTATAAACAAGCAAGTTTTGCAGAAGTAATTTTGTTCTGGGTAAGACTAGGTATATGTTAAACAAGAATGTCTCCATCATATGGAAGGATTCAGCCCCTTTAAGTCCCAGCTTGTCCATGATGGAGTGATGTACAAAACTCTGCTCCTGTCTCCTCATCGGTCCACTTTAGGAACTGTTCTTGGATTACTTGTGGTCTGGGAGGGGGTGCTACACGTCAGCATTTGTTCTCTAGAAGAGTCATCATGTACCTTTAATACTAAAATGGGGTTTAGTGGGAAACAAGATTCATTTTCCATCGGGTTTTGAAGCAATAAAAATGTTACAGAAAAAGAGTCCTCTTTGTGAAGCAGTTTGGGGTCCCTGGTAACAGAACCGAGAAAGTGGGAACGGCCCTCCACTGTCCCTGCCCAATGTCCCTTGCCACTCACCCTTCACTCTGTCCCCAGTCACTGCGCACACACAGATGTCTGTGCACTGGGTCGGGGGCATAGCCTTCGTGGCAGCTACACTCTCCTGTAAGGAAAAAGAGAAAGCAGTCTTGTGAAATGCTGTTCACACAAAACAGTCTTCTCCCCTGCTGTCGGTGTTTTCTTAGAAAATACAGCGAGCTGCTTCATTCTGCCCACGGAAAGAGGGGTTTCTGGTCTACCTGCCACAGTGGGGAATAAAGATTTTATTCATTTGTTCATTCATTCATTCAACGAATCCTGACCACAATGCCCTGCCACGCTCTCTGGCACAGGGGATACAGAGATCAAGGTACAACCCTGATGCTGAAAGAGCTCATGGCTTAATGAGGGAAACAGAAAGTGGCCTGGTGGCCACAAACGGACGGCTTGTCCTCAGATAGCTAAGCTAAGATAAATTACATTTGTACTAAAAGTGTAATCAGAAAATCGAATTCTCTCTAACTGAGTGAATAATCCATGTTCATTTGTAAGCCACAGATCAAATGTCACTCCTTCAAATATTTTTGATTTTCCCTTTTGGAAAAGAATTTTTTTCATTTACAATCTCCAGATTTTATTTTAGTTGTTGTTTGCTTATTTTAATTGTTTTTACTCTCCTCTCCTCCCTTCCTTTCACCTTTTGTTCCCTCCCATCTACTCACCTATCCATCCACTCATCCATCCATCCATCCATCCTTGCATCTATCCATCCCTCCATCCATCCACCCATGTATTCATGCATCTTTTTTTTTTCTGGCCATGTCTTATGAATTCTTGCCAGCATCCCACACTGCCTTAAGTGTATTCCCCTTTGGCCAAGCTCATTTGGCATGGTCAGTGGATGTCTCATGTCCTAGCATATCCTCAGAGTTCAGAATCCTGGAAGAGTTTTCAGAAACTCTGTCCTACCCCCTTGCTGCTCTCTGTACTGCTCCACTGTACACGCCTTAAGGTTCTGATCCAATTGGTTGCTAGTTTTTCCTAAGGTCTATATGTAAAATGTTCACAGATGCTTTACCAAAAATAGATTCTATAAAAAAAACGTGTTTGGGAAACACGGTACCATTCCTCAGAGCTAGTAGCATGTGCTTCTGCATGAGGGTGATGCACATACAGTTTTCCCTAAACTTTCTTCACCTTGGGAAGCTTGCTGGTGAACAAGTCACAGGCTTAGTATTCTGTGGAACACACCTCAGGAAATGCTGGTAGGAAGTGGGCTGGGTTAGCTCACTGCCTGGCACAGAGTAGGTGCTCAGCACTGCGAGCTGAACGAATAACCATGCTATGGCTCTGGTAGTTTCCAGACTATTAATGTCAGGTTGCCTTCTTTCTGGTCCTCTGGTGACCACACCCATGCACACCCCCAGAGGAACCCGCAGTTCTTTCATCCTGCAGGCATTCTATTTGGTCTGACGTGAGAGTTTTCAAACCATGTTTCTCGGAAAAGTATATAGTTCAATGAGGGCGATCTAGGGACTTTGCATCTTTCAGATTTTAATTCATTTTTAAAAAATTATGTTTCTCAGAGGGAAGGTGGGAGTGGAGAGAGATTAACCAATTAACTTAATATGCATATATGCATAACCCATGGACACACACAATAGTGTGGTGAAGGCCTGAGGAGGGAGCGGGTGTAGAGGGAGGGATTAATTGGGAAAAAAGGGGACATCTGTTATAGTTTCAACAATAAAGATTTAAAAAATCTCTAAACACTCAGCAGTTACATGCTAGAATGTAGGGCACTAGAGAGCGCCTCCACGTTATGTTTTATGCAGGCCTCATTAAAATAATCTCCTGTCATCTCTGTTTCATTGAGGAGGGCACTGAGACTGGAGTCGAGGTGCTAACAAGCTCATGCTATTTACAACGACATGTCTTACGAATCAGGATTCCCTACCCTTGTGCAACCCAAACAAAATGCGGCAGCGACTATGATGCTAGGGCGACACAGGTTGTATAACTGTCACCCATGACTCCTGATTTCAAAACGTTTGTATTCATCAAATAACCTTACTGTTTTCACTGATTCACTATACGTGTTATGCATTTGACCTTATACAAAGCACTTCGAGTGTTGAAAAACACTCTAACTGGTTTTATATATCACAATGCTGCTTCATCTTTGTACCCCCAGCATCAGCAAATAGCTGGCAATCAGCCTGGGCTTAATAAATGTTAGCTGAACGAGGTAGGAAGACAGCATACAGGGTGAAGACCGGGTCAGAGACAGTATTCAAAATATTCAGAATAAGACTGTAAAGAAGCAGAGGGAAAAGCGAGGAGAGAGAGCATGGTCTACCTTTCCCCTTCCCTGGACACTGGGCCGATCAGAAGGGGCTGCGTGCAGGCAGGGGTCGTCTCTAACTCTCCTCTCAGGATCAGGCCCGGCGCATTCCACTGAATGTGGATGCTATGGCATGTGCTACCTAATGGGCCCATGATGGTTACTGCAGGTCAAACTAGTGGAAGAGAGGGCTGAAATCCTTGAGATGTGGATGAGAGTAATTCACCAACATGGGAGGGGTAGGTCACTAACAAGGTGTTAAAATGCAACAGTCCCTTCATGAAATATTCACCACTTGAAGCACGTCTAATATTAAAGATTAAAAGTCCTGGGATTTGTCCTCGAGACTCCCAGGACTGATTTATGATCTGCCACCAGCCACAGTCCTCATGATTCATAATGGGAGAGGTGAAAGTGTGAGCTCTGGCGCAGGGACAGGGAGTCAGGCTGGGGCGGGCCAGGAGGGCTGCTGGGAAGGGCAATGGTAGAAGTACCTGTCTCTCTGATCAGTGACTCCGCAGGAAACAGCACAGGTCGTTTCTCCTCCTTTCCCTCCTTTTGGGAATATTAGTGAGAATGAAAAATCTATACGGGAAAAGGCTGCTCTATTTTGCTCTTTCTTTCTCGTGTGCTTACGAGGCAAGTTTCCCCTGCCTCTGTACGGATCATTAATTACTGATGCTCATTATACAACAAATATGTATTTTGCCAATGAGAGGCATCCACCTGGGGGAGCGAGGGGGAGGCAGAAGGCTGCCTGGAGAAGGGAAAATGAGGCAGAGGGAAAAGTGAATGAACGCTGCCTCCAGACAGACCTGGGTTCCAGTCCTCACTTTCTTTCTCCCTAGACCAGCCCTGGGCAAACTACGGCCCGCGGGCCGGATCCGGCCCGTTTGAAATGAATAAAACTAAAAAAAAAAAAAAGACCGTACCCTTTTATGTAATGATGTTTACTTTGAATTTATATTAGTTCACACAAACACTCCATCCATGCTTTTGTTCCGGCCCTCCGGTCCAGTTTAAGAACCCATTGTGGCCCTCGAGTCAAAAAGTTTGCCCACCCCTGCCCTAGACCCATGGTCTTAGGAAACTGACCTTATCTTCTCGGGACTCGGTTTTGTCATCTATAGAATGGGATGGCAGTGCCGTCACTCTCACAGAGCTGATGTGAGATTACACTGAAGTGGTCAAAGGTGAAGCTCATGGTTCAGTCTCCTCCCCTTTTCCTTTCCCTGAATTCTGATATGTCCCAACATAGCAGCTCTAGGGACTTTGTGGGGCCTTGTGGGGCCTTCGTTTCCCCGTCTGCAAGATGGAAAACTGTAGTAGATGTTCCTCAATTTCGAGCACCAATGAGAGTCCGTGGTCTGTGTTGCCTTTCCAGATCCCCAAGCCCTGCTTTCTGGACACTATGTGTTTCAGCCTTCGCCGTGATCTCTCTTAGCAGCTGGGCCAGGTGTCTGCGGCAAGATGTCCATCAATGCCGGGGCTATTGGCTTTATTGACTTCTGTTTCCCATTTCGCTGGCTCAGCCTACCCTCCACTATTTGCAACTGAGCATTTCCTTCTTGCAAGATGCAAGCCTCTGACAGCCAGAGCTGAGGATGGAGCCCTCCCCCGTGAGGCCTTTCCTCGGTCCTGCCCCTGTACACGCAGGGCAGCCAGGCAGCCAAAGAGCAGCGCAGGCGTACCAGGTGCCCGTGCTCCATCACTGTGCGCACTACAGAGGCTCAGGCAAGGAGGGGGCTGCACCCATCTCGCTCACCGCTGTGTCCAATGCCTGCTGCACTGCCTGGCACCTACACAAGTGAGGGGTGCGTTTCACAATAGTAATCCTATGCCAATGGGATGCGGAAACTTTTCAAAAAATTTGCCTGTTCTCCCCACTAACCTGGGAGTTTCTTGTTTGCAGAAACCTTTTCTTTTTTAAAAATATTTTTATTGATTTCAGAGAGAAAGGGAGAGGTAGAAACATCAATGATGAGAGAGACTCACTGATCGGCTGCCTCCTGTACGCCTCCTACTGGGGATTGAGCCCACAACCCAGACATGTGCTCTGACCAGGAATTGAATTGTGACCTCCTGGTTCATAGGTCGATGCTCAACCACTCAGCCACACCAGCCAGGCAGAAACCTTTTCTTAATCATCTCCACATCCTACCAATTAGTATAGTGCCCGACAGTGCATTTGATAAATAAACACATGAACAGAGGGGTGAGTTAGTGAATATATAAATATGTTCTAATGTTCATACATTCAAGGTGACTTCATTTAGAATAATGACGGTTCTGCTAAAGATTGAAAGTAACATTCATATATCTATGACATGTACTTGCCAAGGAGATGGAAAGTGTAAACACGAGTGCTGGTGAGATGTCTAAAATAGAATTGCATTTCACATCAGAGCAGGAAGAGCTCTGAAAGATCCTCTAGTTCCGATAGTTTTGCAGAAGGGGAAACACAGCTCAGAGAGGGGCGGTATTTGGCCAAATCACAGGATTAGAACCCAGGGTGCTTGGCCATGACCTCAGCATCCTTTCCCGACACTGGTGCCTCAGTCACTCAACATTATGCCTGGCGACATTTTCTAGGGATACTATTTTCCCCTTGATCCTCCTCTGACATGTCCAAGTGTCCTACAATGACAATGTATTGCATTTATAAACAGGGATTTTTATTTTAATTTTATATTTTTGGTTAATCTTTACCCAAGGATATTTTCCATTGATTTTTAGAGAGAGTTGAAGGAAGGGGGAGAGACAGAGAGAGAGAACATTGA